TGAAATTTCTTCTTGCACCTTCTTGCCTTCCTCTCGATGACTTTCTTGAAGTTAAACTCGAGAGATGCCTCTACATCTCATTCACTGAGATAGCCCCTAGGTACCTAGCATGTGTTGAGCTCCGTCCTTCCCAAGTCTTCCCCCTTATCTTTTCCGTAAGTACGATGGAGATCCTAAAGAAAGGATGCAATTCATCATGATGACCTGAAGCAGAGAAATGAAGACATCAACTTACTCCACCTCTTAAAATCTCGGGACGAAATTTCTTGTAGTGGAGGAGATTTGTAACACCCCGAGAATCGTGCTATAGTAATCTCCCCCTAATGGTGGCAATGTCATCATGATTACTATGCAAATTTTCCACTTAATAAAAATCAAAGTCAAAATTGAAATTAAGTTGCAAGTTAAAATATTATTTCTTCGAACAGTAAGACAAAAATGTTCGATGAGTTACAAAAATTCACTAAGTATTTATCATATAGAAACCAACATCTTTTGAAATATTTAAATTTCCTTAAAATATCAAAACAAGACCAAACAACACCATTTTAGCCCCATTTAAATGTAAACGTAACTTAAATGAATTCATTTAGACCCTCAAACTTTTTGTGTTATCCCAAGTTATTGTGTTAGATTTATGTGCCAAGTTTCAACTCAAACATTTTTTTTGCTATTTCAAATGAATGCAAAAAATGAGTCAGATGTTAAATATAAAAGAAAAAGGAGAAAATCTCCTGTGCACTTAAGCCCATTAGGAAACCCAGTCTACCTCTTGTCTGCTTCTTCCTCACCTATAGTATACAGGGGGGAATGGTCGTGGCACACATCCAGCCACCATGGTCGCCGTGGGAGTTGCGTGTCGGCCATCCCGCAACCCCCCTGTGGATAAGGCCACCCCGCCATCCTCTAGAACACTAGCACATCCAACCCGCCCCTCTCTCCCACTTATTTCCCGATCTGGAGCTCATGCCCCAGAGCTCAACGTCGCCGTGCAACAATCGCTGCCGCGTCGACCGGCTACCTCGCACCACCTTGACATCTCTAGGAGGGCCGCCGCGGTCTATCTCGTTCTCCCCCTCCATCAGTTTGGGCGAGGATGCCGCTACACCGTCGCCCTCATCATCTCCCTCCGCTTCGGCCGCTGCGCACCATTGCCAGTTTTGGTCACCTCTGGCTGCCCTTGCACCTCCCCGACCTTGTCTGCGCCCCCTAGTGAGCTCCCTTCGCCCCCCTGTCTCATGCTCCATTTAGCTTCCACTAGGCACCAGCACTGCTGCGCCCGACGCCAATGGTGCTCGCGCTCACGGCAGCAAACCTGTGCCCCGGGCTCCCCTGACTAGTGCCCTGGCCGCCCCTAGCCGCACGCCTGGTGCCCAGGCTGCTCTTGGCCGCTCCCACGCGCGCTCCCGCCGCTAGCCCTCCTCCCCCCGCTGGAAGCCACCCTCACCGACAGCGCCCCGCGCCCACATGCATGTGCTCGCCTCTGGCCCTCGCGTGGTTTTCGCTGCTGTCGTCGTCCCATGCCGCGCCTGATGCCCCCACTGCAGCCACCGTAGCCCTGTCGTGGTGCTCCGCCGCCCACCACCGGCGGCAGCTGCAGCAGGCTCCGCCCGTTGTTGCCCTCGTGGCTCCTGCTGCGCTATGCCCCCCATGGACGCCCCCCACTGGGTGCGTGCATGCAAAACCAGGGGCTGGTCTGTGTGCCACAACCCAATGGGGGCCGCCTCTCTGTAAAATATGAAATGAAAATAAAAAAGTAAAAGTTGAGGCCCTAACATGCAGGCCCCACAGGACCTGCTGACTAGTCAACCGTGGACCAGTCAGCTGCTGACTGGGCAGTTGACTGGCCCCACTGTCAACCACTGGTGCACCTGTGGGTGCACTGCACCCAGTGCACCCAACCTTTTCTATCTAATATAATTTTCGGATTATTTTGAATCCAGGAATTTTCAGAATATTGTTTAAACTTCAAAACTTCATGTAAGTTCAACTGTAGCTCCGATGAAAAAAAATTATATATGAAAAACATTCAGAAAAACAAGACACATCTGTTGGTGCCCTCGATGTAGCTGCAACATGCCTCTAACACTCCAAACATGGAACCTTCCCCCTGTTTCATCTGTCTGAAAATACCAAACTTGGGGAAACCATTCCCGGATGTTTCCCCCCTTCGCCGGTATCTCCTAGTACTGCGTTCGGTCGCACCTAGCACCGCTATTTGTCATGTCATGCATCGTCATGCATCTGTTTGCATTGTATTCATTGTTTCTCCCCCCTTTTCTCTCCGGAAGATTTTGAGTCCGACGCCACTGCTCCAGACGTCGGCTACGCTCCTGATGATCCCTCCTTCTCGATAGAGCTTCCAGGCAAGCAAAACCCCCTTGATCATGCCGATATCGCCTACTCCTTCTCTCTAATGCTTGCATTAGAGTAGTGTAGCTGTTACTGCTTTCGGTTGATCCTATTCTTCTGCATAGCCTATCCTTGTTAGTACTGTTTTCCCCTTCACCTGCAATCCTAAAAATGCTTAGTATAGGATGCTAGTATTCTATCAGAGGCCCTACATTATTGTCCATCTGCCATGCTATACTATCAGGCCGTGATCACATCGGGTGTTGATAACGGGTATATACATACATACATATTATACTTGATACATGTTGTGACTAAAGTTGGGTCAGCTCGTAGAGTACCCGCGAGTGATTCACGAATGTGGGGGTTGAAGGGAAAAGTGGTTCCATCTAGGTAGTGGTGGACCTGGGTTCCAGACGCCCCCCTGAGTGATACCTTGTGGCAAAGCTATAGGACAGGTTGAGATCACCCAGGAGAGAGGTGGGCCTGGTTCCTGGTCGGCGTCTGCAGTTACTTCAAACTAACACGCCTAACGAGTTTGGATATTTGATCTGAGTTGGGTAGTTGGCCTTATATGCACTAACCGCTACATGGGACAAGATATGGGCAACAGGGGTCGTAAAGCTTTCCAGACGTCAGCGACTGAGCGCCGCGCGCCGGGTTGGATCGTGTAAAGCACCTGCCCTTGTAATGGAGGTTGCTAGGTCTGCTCACCGGCCGCGTACGCAACGTGCAGGAGTGCAACGGGAGATGAGCCCAAGACCCCTGTGCGCTTAGGGTTTAGACTGGCGTGCTGACCTCTCTGTTGGGCCTAGGTAGGGTTGTGACGTGTTGATCTTCCGAGGCCGGACATGACCTAGGAAAGTGTTCCCAGCCAGAGGGATCAAGTATGTTGTAGGGTGCAACCCTAGAGGGGTTATTTTCACACTTGGAGGGGGGAAATAGGAAGAACACTCAAGAAAACAAAGAATAAATCACTCAAACAAACCCAAATAACACATCCACTGGAGTAGCAAACATGAAATCCACAAGTATACAAGCACAATTCAAGTAAAGTAGCACTAGGGTAAAGTTCTTCCCACTCTTAGGAGATGAGGTCTTGATGTTGATCTTCTCCAAGAGGAGGCCTTAACAATCCAAAGGATTCTTCCCAAGGTGGGGGCTTGATCTCCAAGAGGAGGTGATACAAGGAGCAAAGCTCTCTAGTGTCTATCAAATACTTTGATATCTATCTATCTATCTATCTATCTATCTATCTATCTATACCTATACTAATTAGCGACTCCCAAGAAATTACCATGTTAATCAGTAATTAGGAATCGTTAATCTAGTGGGACCATGTTATTACGGTGCAGATCAACCGTAATTTTTTTTGAGATATAGATCAACCATTTTTTTGAGTGGTAAATCAATTACAAATCCCAACCGCATGCTATCATGATTGCACGATATATCTACTCCGTATATAGCGCTCAAAATTGTGTAAAAAAATGCCCTCAAAATCCCTCAAGAAAGTCTATCTTCTCCACGTCTCTTACTCTCCCTGTAAAAAAACAATTGTGCACCATAGTCTCTCCTCCTCCCCATGGTCTCCTCCTCACGTTCTCTCCTCCCCATGGTCTCCTACTCCCCACTGTCCCCTCCATATGGTTTCCTCCTCCCTAGAGAAAGGAAATCAATCATATCTCTCAAATTGGAGCAAGGAAATTAGAAAATTGATCTGGTGCGCTCACGCCATGGAATCTCTCATCCTCCTCCCATGGAAAAAACAAACAAATCTCTCTCAAATTGGAGCAACCAAGTTGGGGAATAGATCAGGTTCGTCACTTATTATTTTTGATTTTTTTTCCTAATTTAACATTTGAATCGACCTTACCTTTTCAATTGCATTAGGTTTCATGTTTTCTACTGCGTCCTTTGACAGTCCTAGGATTCAATCCTAGGTTTGCTGACGTACGCTCTTTGGGCACTTCATGGAGATCGCGATGGGGCAGAACCAAGCCCATGCCGCCATCTTATAAATTAACTGCAGCCTAACACAAACAATCTACACATCAAGGAGGCTCCTGTCAGTCGTAAACATCGTCGCTCGTGTACCTTCTCCTGTTTGGTACGTAAGCTTCATCGTTGACCTGTTTTTCAGATATTGTTTGTTTTGTTGGTTAATTCAAAATTTTAGGCTATTTACATCATATTTCTTATATGAACTTCATGATGGGTAAGAGAAAATCTTTCTTCGCAAGTGAAGCCTTGGATTTGCCAGAGACTAAGAAATTAGTAAGCAACAAAATTATGCTTGCTTACAATTCAAATTACTTTTTGTTGCTTTCTGGCCCAGTTCTGAGACAGATTATTTGTTTCGTTGGTTCAATCAAATTGTTAGGCTCTGGATTTCATACTGCATGCAAATTGCATGGCCACCAATATGTAATCTTCTGGAAATTGTGTTTTTATAGGTCAACTTCTTTTGTTTACCTTCAAACCAATGGCATACGATATGCTCCATGAGATTAGCAATCAGAAGGATTCCTGGAAAGTAAGGTCAGAATAATTAGGCTATTGGGATGCCATTAATCTCAGCAACAATGAACTTATTAGCCTTGACATGATACTACTTGATGAAGAGGTTAGCTTAATGATGAAATTTTATGAATTGCCAACATAAATACACTATTGTGAGCTATAGTACTTACTATAATATTGATGCATCTTCTTGTTGCACTGTAATGTTCCAGGGTACTATGATACATGGCAAGGTAATGAAGCATATGGTTAACAAGTTCAGACCATTGATCCAAGAAGGTTTAGTCTGCATGATAGCAAATTTTAAGGTTATGTCTGCAATGAATTTCCGTCCAGTTGAAAGTGAAAAGGTTCTAAATTTCTTGCACACGACAAAAATTCAAGAGATAAAAGGTCAAAAAAAATATCAAAATAGCAGAACAAAGCTTCATGTTTTATACTGTTAAAGTTCTTTCCACAAAAGAGCCAAAATATTTACTTATCTGGTATGATTAAATTTGTTTCAATTATTAACTTCCATGTATTATGCATATTAATACCACTTTATTAGCAGATGTCATTAGCATAGCAAGTTACATAGGACATATTGAAGAAACACAGACAACCCACGGGATTTCAAAGATTCGAGATATTGTGCTTCAGATTGAGTGAGTACACTAAAAACCATTAGACAAGTACAATTATCATGGGTGCTAATAGGTATTTCTCTTGGAATATACAGGGATCAAAAAATTAGTATTAGACTATGGGGTAATAAGGTTGGTCAAATTGATGAAGATTCTTTGGGGCGTGTGGTCATAGTAACATCAACTACTGTTAGAAAACTGAAAGGTTTGTATTCGTATTAACAATGGGCAAATATTTCTAGGCGTGTCTTTTTTATATACATAATCTAATATATCAAGTGCATGCAGAGTACTCGCTGTCATCTACAGGTGCGACCAGAGTTTATATCGATTTGGATATCCCTGAAACAAATGAGCTTCAAACGAGGTGAAACAGATTTTCTGCAGTAATATGAAAAACATGTTCTACTACATACATGGATACTTATCTCATGCAAAACAGGTATTGCTTGCAAGATGATATGGTAGAAAATTAGAGCCGGAAGCCCACTTGCAAGGCACAATTCACGAACAGATGTTGTATAACAGAAGAAACCTAAAAGAAATAACTGAAATTACATATGAATCTGAAAAACAGGTATTATAGATTAGTAAATGAGGAACTAAACTACGATAAAGATTCTTTAAGAATAGAGCACATGAAGTTACTGCATGAGCTAAATCAGGATCAGAGGATGGCTTTTGAAGTTATAATAGAATCAGTCAATGACAGTCTTGGAAAATTGATTTTTGTTGACAGATATGGTGGAACTGGAAAGACATTTCTGTGGAAAGCAATCACGACAAAATTAAGATCTGAAGGAAAAATAGTTATAGCAGTTGCTTCAAGTGATATAGCAGCACTTCTTTTACAGGGTGGAAGAACAGCTCATTCAAGATTTCACATTCCGCTCAAGATCACTAACGAGTCCACATGCAACATCAAGCAAGGAACATTTCTTGCGGAGCTAATAAAGAAAACGTCACTAATAATATGGGATGAACCACCTATGACACACAAGCACTGTTTTGAGGCACTAGATAAGAGTTTGGGAGACATACTTCGATTCACATATGAGGACGCAGAGCATAGACCATTTGGAGGAATGACAGTAGTATTGGGAGGTGACTTCAGGCAAATCCTACCAGTTATACCGAAGGGGAAAAGAGAACATATAATTTCTGCATCAATAAAGAGTTCCTACCTATGGAAGAACTTTGAGGAGTATCGACTCAAAGAAAATATGCGTCTGAATTCATCCGAAGGTAGTCCAGAAGAGAAAGCAAAAACAGCTGAATTCGCAAACTGGAAACTAAACATAGGCGATGGCACAACGTCAACAATAGATGAAGTGGATTGGGTTAGCATCCTAGAGGACCTTATTTTACATAAAGGGGATGACCCGGAAGCATCTATTGTTAACACCACCTATCCTGACTTACACAGAAAATACACTGATAGAACATACCTAGAGGAAAGAGCGATCTTGTGCCCAAGAAACGAGACTACTGACCAGATTACTGCCTACATCATGAGTCAAATCCGTGGAGAAGAGGTAACCTATTTCAGTTCAGATACAACATGCAAGGCAATGTCTACGGTGGAAGATGAAGATATGTTGTACCCAACTGAGTTTCTGAATAGTACATTTTCTGGAATACCAGACCATGAACTGAGGCTGAAAGTAGGATTACCAATAATGCTTATGAGGAACATCAATCAAAGTGCAGGACTTTGCAATGGACAAGACTAACAATAACACAGCTAGGAAAGCGTTTCATTGAAGGCCAGGTCATAACAGGTCCTAATGTTGGTGACAAGGTTTACATCCCCACAAATTATCATGTCACCAAGTGATTCAAAATGGACTTTCATTCTGAAAAGGAGACAATACGCAATATTAGTGTGCTTTTCTATGACTATAAACAAAAGCCTGGGGCAATCTCTCAAAAAAGTTGGACTCTACTTAGAAAGGCAAGTGTTCACACATGGACAACTCTATGTTGCAATTTCAAGGGTGACCAGCAGAAATGGATTGAAGATACTCATATCAGATGAAGAGCGTCCATCCGACAAGGTTGCAGAAAACATTGTTTACAAGGATATATTACAGATATTGTTACAAGCATTCTGATATGACTAAATATAATGTGATGCAAACATAGGAGCCTTATTTGGTTTCAAATTGATATATCTGAAATATTTTATCAGAGCAAAATTTATTTACTTTTGGGTATATTATTATATTCGTATATTGTCTATAGTTATTATTTAATTTAGTCTGATTTTAGAATTTCTAGCAAACTCAATGTTTTGATGCATCCATTTAACAAACCCAAATATAGTATTTGTGAGCTTGCGCCCTTCACTTTTTTTATTGTGTTCCTCTGAAGATTGAACTATATTTAAGCTCTCTCTGACTGGTAGAGGACGGCCACTATACTTTATTTTCAAAATAGTGGAAATACATTCATAAGACAATGTATTCATACAGATACCTGATGGAGAGCTAACAACTGATTTAACAAAAATCAATATCAGTTATGTATGCATCACGTATGTGCTTTTATCAACTACTATAACATTTCTTTCTTCCCTAGCAATTTAGATCTGATTTAACAAAAAATAGAAAATTCCAAGAGTCTAATTGCTAGATAAAATATTAGAAACAGTAATTTGATAGTAATGCTATGCATGCCTAAAATTTATTTCATAGAGAGAGGACATGGTAAGGCAAAGGAAAGATATGCACCTGTTCGTACAAACATAGAGTCAAGGGAAAATGGGGATGGATAAGATTCGCTGCCGCTGTTGCTGGATGCGGAAACTCCGCTCAATAACGCGGGCATCGGGGGAGATTGCAGATTCAGTGGGGACGACCTACCACACGACAAAGGGGAACTGCCGGATGGCTGCCACTACAGCCGGTGTTGCGATGTGGTTCGCGTGGAATGACTTTCTGAGGTTACTGTCAGGACCCAAGCCAAGAGTGTACTGACGAGGCGTTGCAGCTACATGAAGTTCAGAGAAAAGACGGTCCAGATGAACTCCAGAAGAGATCGATGGCTTAGATTCAATCTTCGCCGTCACTAGCCGTTACTGTTACTTTTGTCGACACCATCAGGAATTGTAACAGTAGCTGTTAGCTGTTAGCGCGTTAGGTGTGAGCTGTCCTGTGGCTTAAAAGGCATGCGAGGGGGAGGGAAGGAGCAAGAAGAATCTTATCATAAGCTGTAGTGGTTAGAACCCTAGCTAGCGAACCAAGTCGGGGTCTCTGATCTCGCACATATTCCTCTAAATTGTATCCCTGAATTGCTACAATTTTCTATGATATTCAAGAATTCGTGATGATTGGGTTCCGCTGGACAATTTGATCCTCACAAAGGTATCAGAGCGCCAGGTTGAATCCTCGGCGGTGAATCAACGGAGGCGAATCAGGCTGTGGAAAGAAGGAGGTTGGGTTCTCTCATAAAATCCCTCCCATCCCTCCCAGTTTGCGTCGGCGGTGGCGTCAGGTGGCGGCGACATGGCGGCGGTGAAGTTCGAGCACAAATCTCCGAGTCCGATCCGGTTGCTGAGAGATCTCCTCTCTGTAGTGAAATTCTGGGATCTGACGGAATCCGTGCGTCAAGAGGAATTTTGTGAAGCGAGCCTAGCGGATCAGTCCTCAGTCGCAGATGGCAGATACAAGAGCCAAGGTCCAGATCACGGTGGATCGAGTGGAGAAAGAGGTGGCCGATCTGAGAGCAGAGGTGGAAGGTTTACAAGAGCTGAAACAGGAGGTGTCAAAACTCCGGTCTGAGATGGTTACTATGCCAAAGGTAGAGGCCAAACTGTCAGAAATGAACGAGGGAATTCAACAAATATTGCAGTTGATTTTGCAGAAGATGAGCATCTCAACATAGAAAACAGAGCCCGTTTGTTCAGAGCTGAAAGCAAAGGAAAACCAGACAGCTGCTAGTGGTCACATACCAGGACCAATGCAGAACAAGGGGCAGAAAGACACAGATACAGTGAGCAGAAATTTAGAACAAGAGTTCAGAGGCCAAGAGCAAGCTCCAGTTACAAAAGCAGCCGGTCCATCTATTGGATTACCAGTATCACAGTTAGTAACCGAAAGCACCAGAGTTAGTGCTATCTCACAACAAGAAATTCCAGTTATAGGACAATTCAGAAGTGTTCTTGCAGGTGTCAGTGCAACTATACAACCTCATACACTGGGTTTCTCAGGAAACAGTGGGTATTTTGCCCCTGTTAGTGCTCCTCTGTTTTCCCCACCACACACATATAACCCCATCACAGGCCAATACATCAATACTTCAACCACAGCTCAAGGGGTCTCTCCTGTATACCAGGCAGTGGGAAATCTCTATGATATGCAGAGAAATCAACATTCCACGCAACTAGGAGGTCCATCATACTTTGCAGAAGAAGTTCTAAAAGGGCCAAGGTTGGAAATTCCCCTCTTTAATGGATAAGATCCCATTGGATGGCTTATAGCCTATGAAAAATTATTTGAAATGTCTGGCACTCCATATGAGCAGTGGGTGAATTTGGCTACTGGACACTTACAAGGTAGAGCCTCTAACTGGTTGAAAAACATTTGTGTGCCATGGCAGATGGTTACTTGGCATCAGTTCTGCCAGATGATTGCTGACAGATTCTCAGAGGCAAGTGTTCATGAAGCAGTCGAACTATTGAAGAATATTCAGCAAACAAACACTGTCACTCAGTACATAGACAACTTTGAACAATGTGTTGCACTCGTAAAAAGGGATCATCCCTGTCTCCAAGAAAATTTTCTTTTGAGCTGTTTCATTGGAGGTTTAAGGAGTGACATAAAGCATGAAGTCTGTGGACAAAAACCTACTGGGATTATAGAAGCTTATTGGTATGCAAAAGTATATGAAAAGGCTGCAGCTACTAGGAAGGTTCAGGGTGTTCCCACTTACAAACCTAGGAATTATTCTCCTTCCTACAGAAATCGGTCAGCATCTTTACAAGTACAAGTTCCATCCCCAGAAAAGTCTACTGCTCCTTTTCCTAAAGAGGCCAGAGCTTGCTGGTACTGCAGGGAACCATGGACAAGACAGCACAAGTGTAAAATAGGAAAAACACTGCACATTTTGCAGGAAATGGATGAAGATGAGGATAGTGATAATGCAGAAGGAGTAGGTGCAGATCTGACTTACCACACTGCTATTAATACTCTTGATAAGGAAAAGAGCAGCAACACTGTAGAGAAACCAGCATAGGCCATGCATATTTCTGTACATGCTGTAGAAGGCACTCCTGGACCACATTCTCTTTGATTGTAGAGATTGCAGGGAAGAAAGCTATAGCTTTGTTTGACAGTGGATCTTCAGACACATTTATCAGCAAAGATTTTGTAGTAAAGAGCAACTACTATCAACAACCAATCCAGCCAGGAAAATTAACCATTGCTAGTGGAGGGAAACTCATGTCACTGTCCAAAGTGCCAACAAGGGATTTTAAAATTCAAGGGCACACTTTCTGTAGTAGTTTTAAAGTACTGGAGTTACAATATTATGACATCATATTAGGAGCAGACTGGATTTACCAATACAACCCTATTTGTCTGGATTTAGTTGAAAGACTGTTGTTGGTTACTAAACAAGGACAACCAGTAACCTTATATGACCATTCAATACCAGAAAAACAATGTGTGCTGTCAGCAGCTAGAATGGAAAAGTTACTACAAAAAGGTGTCATGGGATATATTCTCCAAATCAATGAGATACAAACTGAGAACAACAAAAGTCCTGCACCTCCTCGAGTGGCTCTCCAACCTCTGCTGAAAGCTTATGCAGACATATTTGCAGAATCTACTTCACTACCTCCAAAAAGATCTTGTGATCACAACATTATACTGCAAGAAGGAGCAAAACCCCCCAACTTAAGGCCCTATAGAGTCCCACATTATCAAAAAGCAGGTATGGAATAAATCATAAAACAATTAATAAAAAAGGGAGAAATTCAAGAAAGTCTCTGCCCCTTTTCATCTCCTGCAATTATGGTAAGGAAAAAAGATGGTGGATGGAGATTATGTGTGGACTATAGGGAGTTAAATGCTCTCACTGTGAAAAACAAGTTTCCAATGCCCATTATTGAGGATCTACTAGATGAATTACATGGGGTAAAAGTGTTTTTCAAATTAGACCTGAGGTCTGGATACCACCAAATCAGAATGGCAGTAGAAGATATTCCAAAAACTACTTTCAGAACTCACATGGGACATTATGAATACACTATGGTGCCTTTTGGACTGGCTTGTGGACCAGGTACTTTCCAAGGTTTAATGAACAATGTATGTGAGGAAATAAATGGATCTGAAGGAGAGAAGTGCAGTCTGGTTTTCTTTGATGACATGCTAGTTTTTAGTAAGTCCATGGAGAAACATTACAAGCATCTAGAGAGCACTTTCACTGTCTTAAGGAAACATGAGCTTTATGTGAAACAAGCCAAATGCACCTTTGCAACAGACCAAGTTGCATATCTGGGACACATAATATCTGACAAGGGAGTCTCTACAGATCCAGACAAGATAAAGTCAGTGCAGGACTGGCCAGAACCTAAAAATGTCACTAAACTAAGAGGTTTTCTTGGTTTGACTAGATATTACAGGAGGTTTGTGAAAGATTATGGCCACATTTGCAGGCCTCTCCATGATATGTTAAAGAAAGATGCTTTCCAGTGGGGACCTGAACAAAGCAAGGCTTTCCAAACTCTAAA